GTAACTCTTCCATGCAACAAGGGCAATGTCCGATTTACAACAGTACCCTTTAGAACGTTTTCTGATCAAGTATGAATTGGATATCAATTTTTTTAATATTGAAAACTAGTTATTTTAAATTGTGGCTTCTCTACGAAGTGAATCGTGCATTTCTATTAAAAATATACAAATTATCAGATTTAAACGCTTTAAACCTTAAAAAAACGACAATATCCTCCACAATATTGATCAGATACAGGTTTCAAGGGTACCGTTGTGAATCGGGCATTACCAATATGGAGGGTCACTTGAAATTTCGCGTACAGTTCTTTACCTACTTTCAGAATAAATATGATTGACAAAGATGACAGAGATAAAAGATTAGATTGTTTACGTCTGAACCAATTATAAAAACTTGTTTACGTCGACAAACAAAACTGAGGCTAAGTGGATGGACTTTTGATTTGTTTGTCTACTAATTGTAATTACGAGAAATTCAAGGGAATTCACGCTCTCCCGTTGGATTGGTTCTATTTGGATTTTTTTTTTTTGGGGGGGGGGTGGGGGTTTAATCATTTCGATTTCTTTGTTTTTGTTTGGATTAGTTTGGTTTGTTTGGATTTGTTTGGTTTGTTTGGATTTGTTTGGTTTGGTTGGATTTGTTTGGTTTGTTTGGATTTGTTTGGTTTAATTGGTAGTTGTTTGGATTTGTTTGGTTTGTTTGGATTTGTTTGGTTTAATTGGTAGTTGTTTGGATTTGTTTGGTTTGTTTGGTTTGTTTGGATTTGTTTGGGTTTGTTTGGATTTGTTGGATTTGTTTGGTTTGTTGGTATTTGTTTGGTTTTGTTTGGTTTGTTTGTATTTGTTTGGTTTAATTGGTAGTTGTTTGGATTTGTTTGGTTTGTTTGGGGTTGTTTTGATAAATTGGTAGTTGTTTGGATTTGTTTGGATTTGTTTGGTTTGTTTGGATTTGTTAGATTTGTTTGGATTTTTTTGGATTTGTTTGGTTTTGATTAATTGGTAGTTGTTTATATTTGTTTGGGGTTATTTGGATTAATTGGCAGTTGTTTGGGTTTATATGATTGGGTTCGTTTGGTTAGGTTTTAATTAGTTAGAATAGATTGTTTTGGGTGGGTTAAATCAGTATAACAAATGTGTAGAATTCTAAATTCGGGTCGAAATTGTTGAAAAACCGATTTTTGTGGAATTTATGTAAAATTAAAACTAGATCCAGCTGAATATTGAATATATTAGTCAAACTTTCACTTTAACTAGACCAATAAACATTTAGACTGCATTCTATATGCACCCTATACTCTGCACACTGCACACTGCACACTGGCATTGTGAGTGGAAACCCTTTGGGTTTAGCAAATCACTGCACACTGCACACTGCACACTGCACACTGTACACTTCACACTGCACACTGCACTCAAATACATTAAAAACCAAACTATAAAAATGCAGTTGGTTTAATAAAAAGTCCAAATTTCACTTTATTCTAGTCCCCGTTTTTATGTCAGAACTTGTTTTTATTACTTTTGCATTCAACTAGTTATTTTCTAGATTTAATAGTTATAATATACATAAGATGCCTTGTAAAGATGGTATGTCATATGCATTAAAAATAGATAGATAGACAAATATATAGATGGATAGATGGCAAAAGATAGATAGACAGATTTATAGATACATAGATGGCAATAGATAGATAGACAGATATATAGATGAATAGATGGCAATAGATAGATAGACAGATATATAGATGGATAGATGGCAATAGATAGATAGGCAGATATATAGATGAATAGATGGCAATAAATAGATAGACAGATATATAGATGAATAGATGACAATAAATAGATAGACAGATATATAGATGAATAGATGGCAATAGATAGATAGACGGATATATAGATGCATAGATTACAAAATAAACAGACATATACATGAATAGAGAGATAGATGGTTAGATAGACAAATAAATAGATAGATGGATATATAGTTAGAAAAATAGACAGTTAGAAAAATAAATAGACAGATGGATAGATATAGATGCTCTGAATAATATAAAGGTAATGTATAATGTGTATGTGGGCTGCAGTTATGGTTTGTCTTTGCAAATAAAATGCCAAATCAGCCCCAAACCAAACCAAACCAAACCAAAAAGAAATATGAAAACCTTGTACACCACTCTAACTAGTGTGGGTGGCTGGATTTGTGGATTTCTGATGGGTTTGTTTGTACTCAATGAACGGCAACACGGCTAAACCGAACAGGAACTCCCGGAAGGTTTGTGACCGGTCAAAATACAGAATTTCTATTGGATCTGTTTGAAACTCGGCTAGTTAAAAAGGAAAAAATTTCAAATTTTCAATCTATTTTGTAATGAACGTACGTCGTGGACTTTCTAATTTATCAATGTTTATGACTTTAAAAAACATTACAATCACATTTTTAAACCTAACAAAATACGACAATATCTTCCAACTTATTGATCAAATAAAGGTTTCTAGGTTATGTACCGTTTTAAATCTGGCATTGCCATTTTTGCATGGTGGGTTACTTAAAGTTTCGCATACATTCCCGTTAACTGTTGGTAAAAATGAGTGTTGTGTGTGTGTGTGTGTTTGGCAGGGAAAGTTATATATATATATACTTTTATACAATATATATCTATCTATCTATACCCATATATTTAGCCTGTAGCTTTGTTATTCAAGCCTATAGGTATACATATATGCAAGAAGTTAATAACCAATTTTAGATCCTATACCCTTAAACTAGGTCTTTTAAGCCTGATTCTCAAACCTCCTCATGGACGGAAGGATAGATGAATTAATGAATTGTTAAAACTGCAGATATAGTTGCTGAAAACTTGACTGCTAGAAATGCAGGAAGACGCATTTCTGTTTTTGCTAAAAGCTGTGGAATAATATTTTGTGAATCTTCAATGCTCTATGTAGATACTAATTTTTGATTGTTTCATGTTTTTTTTACCACACATTTACGAATTTCAAACGTTTAGACACTCCACTTTTCACCTTTTTTACTTTGCTACTTTTTTTCCATCCTTTTTTTCCTTTTTTCACCTTTTTCTTTCCCTTTCTTCTTTTCTTTTCTTCTCCGCTTTTCCTTTTTGTTATCTTTTTCCTTTTCATTTTTCTTTTTCATATTTCCATTTATTCTATCCTTTACTTTTTTTCCTTTTCTTCTTTCTTTTTCTTATTTTCTTCTCTTTTTTTAGAAAAACTTTCTCTTTAGATAAGATGCCCCCTAAGTAGGGCTGAGGCAGGGGGGGGGGGCACATGCTTCGGTTACCCACTAGCTGCATGCCTAAAGTTGCAAAAACAATTAACAAGTTAAAATTTCTAGGTGTAGGGAAGGGGTTGTAAAATGCATGAAAATAATGCTTAGGTGCAGTTTACTGGGTGTCATTAATATTCATTTTTCTAGAACCTGTGTTAATAGCATTTATTTTTACAGCAATTATGTCTGCAATATATTTATTTATCTATCTATCTATCTATCTATCTATCTATCTATCTATCTATCTATCTATCTATCTATCTATCTATCTATCTATCTATCTATCTATCTATCTATCTATCTATCTATCTATCTATCTATCTATCTATCTATCAATCAATCTATCTATATATATATCCTTCTTTTCTTCTATCTATCTATGTATCTATTAATCTATCTACTTATCTATCTATAAATCTGACCCCTATTATAATAATTGGTGTTTACTAGAATCTGACATATCTATTATATATCTCTTCCAATATCTGGTCATCATATACCCTCGGGTGCACCTGGAGGATAGATAGATAGAAAAATAGATGATATTCAGATAGATAGATAGATAGATAGATAGATAGATAGATAGATAGATATAAAGATATAAAGATATATAGATAGATAGATAGATAGATTTATAGATAGATAGATAGATAGATAGATTGACATATAGATAGATAGAAAGATAGATAGATAGATATAAAGATATATAGATAGATAGATAGATTTATAGATAGATCAAAAAATCAATTCATCCATTAAAATATATATTCATCTATCAAAGAATCAATTCATCCATCAAAGAATCAAATCATACATCAAAGAATCATTTCATTCATTAAAAAATCAATTCATTCATGAAAAAATAAAGTCATCTATCAAAGAATCAATTCATCCAATAAAGAATAAGTTCATCCATCAAACAAGCAATCATCTATTAAGGAAAATCAATTCACTTATCTAAGAATCAATTTATCCATCAAATATTCAATTCATTAATTAAAAAATCAATTCAACCATCAAAGATCCAATTCATCCAATGAAGAATCAATTCATCTATTAAAGAATCAACTCATCCAACAATAAATCAATCCATCTTTAAAACAATCAATTCAACCATCTAAGAATCATTTCATCCATCAAAAAATCAATTCATCCAATTCATCCATGAAAGAATCAATTCATCCTTAAAACAATCAATTCAACCATCAAAAAATCAATTCAATCATCAAAGAATCAATTCATTCATCAAAAAATCAATTCATCCATCAAAGAATCTATTCATCTATTAAAGAATCATTTCATCCATTAATGAACTGAGTCATCTATCAATAAATAAAATTATTCATTAAATAATCAATTCTTCCATCAAAAAAACAATTTCGTCCATCAATGAATTTAATTCATCCACCAAAGAACCAATTCATCCAGTAAGGAATAAATTCATCCAAAAAAGAATCAATTCATCCATCTAATCTATCCATCCATCCATCCATAAATCTATCCTTAAATCCATCCATCAAACCATCCTTGCCTATAAATCCCTTAGGCTGGAGGGAAATCGTTTAATCGTTTCCCCTCATAATATATATATATATTATATATATATATATATATATGTATATATAATATATATTTAGATATGTAGTGGCATATCAAAATATATATTAATATACAGGGTGATACATTCGAAGATATTATTATCATTATTATTATTATTATTATTCTAGGTGTGTAGAGAATGTCTCGACCTGGCTCCAGTGTAATGGGTCTCCATATTCCTGATCAGGCATTGTGCAGTACATTAATGCAGTACATTAGTGCAGTACATTAATGCAGTACACTAACCACTAACCAAAAATTCTCGTTTTTCAGAAAAGTATATTTATTTTGAGGTTTTTTGAGCTTAACTAAATTAATTTTTGACATTTTTCAAAAATGTCAATGGATATAATCTTTATAAAGAAAATGATAAAGGATCTAATAAACTCAAGATGAAGGACTTTTTAACTTTGGGAACTCTAATAGAAAAAAGAGAACTCGTCTCCGTGGCATGTTTTTGCGAAAGCATGCACAAAGTTAATTATAGCATTTTCTAATAATTGATAACACACACCGTGTCTATCGTATGGCTAAAGTCACACTGTATACAAGTATGCTATCCTATTGAATAAATTGTAGTTTTTTTTCGTTTGAACTGCTGATTCGTCAATACTCGATTTTAAATGTAACATCAATTCTGATAAGAAAATAATGATAAAAAATGTATCCGAAAACTAATTGATTACTTCTTAGTTAATGTATGTAAACGAAACTATCGTAAAATAGTTTTTTTCTGTTAAATCCATATAAACTAAGTTGTAATATATCCTCGATACGTAAATAAATATTTAGATCTTAAAAATAAACTTTGGTACCGATTATATCCTAGTGTTTTAAATCAGTTCTCACGGTACACAATACACATTGGAATAGGAAAAGTTACCGAGTGATTCTATTTTCAAAAATTGGTCATCCATGGACACCTTACTGTGCAGTACATTAATCCTATACTGGATTACTGGCTGGGTTGGGGGTTAACCCCCCATGTGTTTTTTCCAAAATTTTAAAAAATTAAAATTTTTTTTTGTTTTCTCAGGAAAAAAAGAAACACAATTATATTATTGGTGTCTTTTCATGATTAATTCTTAACGTACTGCAACCGTGCAGTACACATCTTCCTTGAACTCCACCAGTACAAGTGGGTACAGTTCACACTACAGCGGGCAGTACAGCGGTCAGACCAGCCCGTACAGGTAAACAGTACAGCAGACAATATTCATTTAAAGGGACTGTAAGCGTAAGTTTAAGTGACCCTTCATGCAAATATATTTTTGTGAATATCTTCATTAAAAACAATGCACACAAGAAATAAGCAAGGAACTGTAAGCGTAATGTTTAATGACCTTCCTTGTACAAATTTGGTTTTCTGACTCCATAAGTTTTTATTTGTGTAAGATTCTCCATTGTTTTTGGCAAGCAAGATATGCACAAGTCCCTTTCGCAGAGAAAACACAAATGAAACTAAATAGTCTAACGAAACAAAATATTATTCATACATGATCAGATCGACATCTTTGCATGGAAGGTCGCTTGATATTACGCTTAAACACTAATTAATTTAAAAAGTTTTCTTCCCCACTTCCGCACTGTTCTAAAAAACATTACTTAGATTTAAAATTTGTTACTTCAAAAATAAATCCCCCCCCCCTGGAAAACTTCCATACCTCAAAGTATAAATGCACTATTCATGAAATTATAGGTCTTCAAACAGCCGCAATCGATTCAGATAGGCAGAAAATTATAATGTAGATAGACAGATAGTTTTATTACGAAGATGCAAAGATAGATAGATAGATAAAGGCCCACTTTTTGTGCAAATTCCTTCGTTAGCCTCAGGTGGTAATTTGGCAAATGCAGAAAAGTTTTGCTAAAAACCTGAACAATTTGACCTGGGTAATATGTAATCAGCAGAGAGAAATCAGTTTACGCCCGATTTTCTACAGTGTACGTACACCAAAAGCTAGTACAACCAATTTTCTACAGTGTACAGATGGAAGAGGTTTCTAGGTTATGTNCAAATCCCCAAAAAGCCCGTTTCAATAGAGCGCCGCCGGCTTAAAACTTGAAAAATGGAATTCTAATTTGGGGGTTGAACCAACCATGTTTGAGCTACGGCCTAAATTTAAGTCGTGGCTCAAATTCTTAAAATTCGGCCTCAGAATGCACCTATCAATGCACCCTGTACACTGGAAGTTTTACAACCAACATCCTACCGTGTACAGGTGCATCAAAAGGCGTACAGTGTACGTACAGTGTACGCCAAACGCTACAGGATACACCAAAAATTGACAGTATAAAACCCACTTAGCACAATATAAAAGATACAAAATTTACTCCTCTTAGAATGCTTTGTTACAATATTTTGTAATGAATGTTATAATAGTGTACGTTTATTTTAGGCAGTACAGTCCCATGCACTATGGCAGTACGCAGTACATAACTGTACCTTGCTCAGTTAAATCCACACCAGTTTGTCAGGTTAGTGCAGTACATTACAGTATCCTCTCCCTTTCCGTCAACCCTTTTTTAATCCCAAATTTTTATCTATTTATTTCCCCATTCTTCCCATTTTCTTTATTTTTCTTTTCTTTTCTCACTATTTTATACCTTACATCTTCCTCCTCTATTTCCTTTCCTTTAACTCCCATTTGCCTTTCACCTTCTGGTTCTCCTTTCTCTTACTTTATACTCAATAAGACACATTTGATAGGTTATATTTAATATATTTTAAGACACTCTGTATTTATATATGCATATTCGAACAGAGACACACTGTACATTAAAGTGTAAAGTATGTGTCTGATCAGTTTTATTACTTCCTAGTTCCTAGCTCCTAAAGTTCTCTAGTTTACTTGAATACAGATCTGATTGCGGTCTTACATTTACCATACAATAGGTTTCATACCTTCCTCATCCTCTCTCATCCTTCCTCATCCTTCCTTATCCTTCCTCATCCATCCTCATCCTTGCTCATCATTCCTCATCCTTGCTCATCATTCCTCATCCTTCCTTATCCTTCCTTATCCTTCCTCATCCTTCCTCGTTCTTCTTCATCCTTCCTTATCCTTCCTCATCCTTCCTCATCCTTCCTTATCCTTCCTTATCCACCTCATCCTTCCTCATCCTTCCTCGTTTTTTCTCATCCTTCCTTATCCACCTCATCCTTCCTCATCCTTCCTCATCCTTCCTTCTCTATTCGTAAAATATGTCTTTACTTTCTCAATGCTAAGTACTAGGTAGCTGATATTTAAACGTTCTTTTATTGTTATAAAAACTGAATTCCATCCTTCTCCCCATCCCCCCTGCTCTACCCACCCTCTGTAAGTCCAGCCTATATCTATCTGTAAACCCTCCCATAAAGCATTTATGCCTGTATCGGTTTAAGTGTATATACCCATATATGTATAATCAACGTACACGGAGTATAAACATGTTATAGAGCTAGCTATTCAACTTATGGATGATAGAATTAATGCATAATCTATGTACATACAGGGTCACCCACAAAGGATGAGACTTGTGATGACTGGACTGAATAAGTTCTGTCTGTTGCTTTCTCTGCAACTTTAAACTTTCTTTGTTTAGTCATTTCATAAGCCATGAAAAGAATATTTTCAATGCAAAATGTGCAATGCAATTCTAAACTTGCGGCACAGTACAAGCTGTGCATTGTGCATTGTACAAACTTGTTTTGATTTTATACTTTAAGAGGATGTAAACCTTGTTTGATTTTTATACTCTTTGGTTTATACTTTAGATCGTTTTTAAACAAATCCCAACCCTACTCTCTAGCACTAGAATTATATCATTTTCTTCTCAATATATTTCGCCAAAAACNCTTAGAGTTTCAGAGAACCTAGGCAGTCTAGGGTCATATTTGACAATAAACCTGGTTCTATCATTCTCTACCCTGCTACTCACAACCTTCTTCAGTGCCTGCTCTCTTTTTATCTTCCTCACATCCATGAAGGAAGATTTAATGGATCTTCTCCTGTATCCTCTCTCAACCAAATCTTCTTCCAGTTCTTCTAGTCTTCTTCTAGTCTTCTAGTTCTTCTAGTCTTCTAGTCTTCTTTGGTTTATATGCTAGGTTCCTAGGGTTTATATGCATGTATATGATTTATATGGTTTATAATGCATACCGAGCAAATTGAAGAATAAAGGGAGTGACTGCAAAATTGAATGTGACCTCCTTCATTTAATTAACAATTTGGAGCAGTGAATATTCAGCTATATATTTTCGAATTTTATATTTTATATCAATATACAAAGAAAACTATAAACTTCATAGTAAAAAGCTCATGTTGAAATTTCTCCTTTTTCGATATACTGCATAAATTGTGAAAAAATAATATTTTATCTGTAATTTGAAAAAACTTTATTCAAGCAGTCACTGCAGGTTGATTTCTACAAAAGATTAAAAATAAATTGTATTTAATGCCCAAGGAAGTACAGGGTTACCCAAAAAGCATGAGACTGTAAGGACATGAAACTCTTTATTTGTCACGATTCCAATGTGGAATTAAGTCTTTTGCCTTAAATAAAAGTTTTTTTTTATGGCATTTTTAAGAAAAAAAAATTAGTTTAGCAGAGAATCATAATTATAAGGAAGCAGACGGTATAAATTCCGTACAGTCGTCTCTGTTAAGCCTCATCCTTTAGTTTAATACAGGGAATCTTCTTTTTTAGATTTTACACTTATAGGATATCATCTATACACACATATTTATATATATATATATACTTTGCTTGTTTGTTTTTATGTCTGTTTGTTTGTTTGTTCAGATGCTCAGAATTACAAAAAGTTGTCTCCAAAATTTTTTGATTTTTGTAAATTTTTGAAAATTCACAAAAAATTGTAAATCCACAAAATTTTTACTATTGTTTAATCGAATAGAAAATGTTGAAAGATTGAGCAACTAATAAAAGTTGAAGATGGGCGCGAAGCGCTCTGATACCCTAGTCTTGCACTACTGTCCAATTTAATAATTTTTGAATTAGCACAGAATTTGCATTTTTCGATTGCAACGGAGGCAACCCGTATCTAATTTAATTGCACTTTGAACTTGCAAAATTTAAATTAGTTTCATTTTCCTTGCTAATTTTCTCAAAATTATGATGTAGCATGAAAGCCCTTTCAAGTCCTCGAGCTTCCTGGCTTAACAATAGAAGAAGGCTTGACCTAAAATTCCATCAAATATAATCTGACAATCATCAATTTGTTTTCATTGTTCAGAAATCTTAATCCTTGCCTCCTCTCATCCATTCATCCATTCATTTATTCATTCGTTCATTCATCCTTAGATTCATTCATCCTTGCATCCTCTCATTCATTCATAGATTTATTCATCCCTTGCCTCCTCTAATCAATTCATCCATTCAATTCTTCATTAATTAATTCATTCATAGATCCATTCATCCTTGCCGCCTCTAATCCATTCATTCATTCATTCATTTATCCTTTCGTCCATTTCAGACATTCATTTATCAATTCATTCATTCATTCATAAATCCATTTATTTATTTATACTTTTGTCTTTTATTTATGCATTCATTTATTAATGTGTTGATGTTTATTTGCATAGTCTTATTCTATCTTTATATTCATCCTTCCTTTCATCAGTTGGAGCACACCTTTAAGTAAACCACATAATAATCTTTTAATTTTAAAAATAGTCTTTTTCCAAACTTCAATTCGAATATTTGATTTGAATATTTTCTTACTTTCATTCCAATACATTTTAATGTTCTTGGGTTGAAAGACTTAATGTAGAGCTTGAATGACACGAAGCACCAACAATTTTTGAATTGTAGCTGCAGTCTACACAGGATGAATCTCTGTATATATATATATATATATATATATATACATATATATATAAAAATTAATCATCTCTGTTTGTCTGTCCGATCATAACTCATGAACCCTTTGACCGATTTACCTCAAATTTTGATTGTGAAACTCGGGAGAACCAAATGTTCTTGATTTGGTTTTTAGATTCTAATGTAAGGATGTTTTATAGGGAAAATAGCTAAAATCGTAATTTAAGACCAAGCGCGGGTAAACGGTGGAAGTAACTATGATTACCCTGGGCAACGCTGGGTTCTTAAAAAACTAAATAAAAGATAAAACAGGACCCGTCAAACCTCGTTTACTTAGCACGGGGGGGAAATCAATTTTAGTTAAAAAACCCGTATTTTGCATAAATTACGCGTGTGCACAAATGGGCCGACATTCGCACAACAGCACGCAGCTAGATTTTCTTATAATCAGAGACAGTGTTACAAGATGCCCTTTTTCCCTGCCCAGAGAGAAGAATTTTTAAGATGCCCTTTTTCCCTTTAACTGCAGTTTTAAGAATTCTTATTCTTATCTTTGATGATCCTAGAGTCTAGACGTAACTTTATTATTTTGTGAAAAGGAGCTGTATTAACATATATGTGTGTCCGCCATATGGGACATTTTTTTTTTTTGGGTGGGGGGGGGTGGTTCTTGTAAATTAAATCTTTGGTCCGACTCTGCTGTTTTGTGGTTGTGTTAAGAGTTGAAAGAATAATTACTCATCTAACTAATCTATCTGTGTCAAGCTAGCCTTATACCTAGAGTTATACTTTCTCCGATACCTAGACCTAGACCTAGAGTTATTTTAATTCTTTTTCCTAGATCACTAGACCTAGAGTTATTGTAATTATTTCTCCTAGATCACTAGACCTAGACCTAGACCTAGAGTAATTGTAATTCTTTCTCCTAGATCACTAGACCTAGACATTAACCTAGAGTTACACTTTCTCCTAAACCTAGACCTAGACCTATACCTATACATAAACCCTAAAGCCCCCGGTTCATTTGAAGTATCGTACCGACTTTTAGGCAAGTTGTACAGTTTACATACAGACCAAAGAGGGATAAACTAGACAGTACAACTAGAGAATAAAGTTAGATTATTGCCTTTATAATTAGTAATTACTTTAGGCGGATGTTTCGCACGAGATTGTCCGCCCAACCCCTCGCCGAGCCGGAGTTCCTTCTTCAAGTGGTTCGCCCCGCCTCTCTCGAGGATCCCCAGGAGCCCCCTCGCCTGGAGTAACCGCCACCAGCCCTGTTCGCGCACTAAATAGACCAGCTTGTAACAGCATGAACGGTCCCTTTCCGCTGCATAGTTCAACCAGGTATATTGTACACGGTTCAGGCCGACTTTAACCAACTTGAGTACACTTTCAGAATATATAAGGCAAACAGGGACTGTACGCCACATGAATTAGCCCCCTCTGTGGAAATTCTAGTGTTACTGTGAAACAAATTTTAAATATCAATTTTGTTGGAAAACTATTATATATTTCATTTAGCTAACAATTTGTTTCATATCTCTAACTTAATTATGTTTATAAATTACTTAATGAGAAAATGATTTTTGTTCAGTACTCCATCATTGTCCTCTAACGGCTCCCAGCTGACTATTCCAGTTAACGGACGTTCATCAGAATCCCCTTCCCGGCCCCTGGCTACTCACACGCCGGTCAGAGGCCCAGCTAATCATACGCCGGTCAGAGGAGACACAGACCTACGAAAATCATTGTCCCCGACTAAAGACTTTTCGGAGCAAAGTGAAAAATTACGCGGGGTTAGTCCAGGGTCTCCGTACTGGTGCGGAGTGGGGTCCAGGGACCCAATGTCTCGGCAGTACGAGTATCCGGAGCGGGATGTACCAAGTGCCGGGCCCGGGAATAGACTTATCACAAATGAAGACAAATTTCTTCATGTCACAAACTTATTGATTGATAAATCTGGAAACAGTTCTCTTTACGATGATTCTGGAACCGAAGAGCACCCTTCTGTCAGGAAATCCGTCAAATCCTGAATTCTAAAAAATCCGCCAAATTAAATTCAAATCCAAACTGTTTAGATCTAGAACAATTATTACAAACAGAGGTTTGTTTGATTGCATGCATAATGGTGCAATATTTTTCCACAGTTTGATATTGCATCCTTATTCTCAATAAAATGTTAGATGCAAATTAACAAAAAGTTTGTGACTCACGCTAAATAGATTATCATTGAACTCCCGTTAGATTATTATTGCCCCCGCCCCCCCCCCCCTGCTTTATTTTTGAGTCAATTTTTTCAAATCTGAACTTGACTTGGATTAGGCAAGGACGGTCTAGTCTGGTTAAATATAAAGCGAATAATAAGGTATATTTCATGCCATTAAAAATGTCTTTTTTCGAAAATTAAGTAATATTGACTCAATATGATAAAATGTCATTTTGGAAAAACTATTCTTTTTCAGACGAAACCAAAACGCAAGTTTTTAAACCATTTGAACCACGGCGGGCGGGAGAAAGGAAAGCGTCATGAACACACAAAACAAGATGTAAACAGGTTGGAAATATATTCACGTAAAACTAAAGTAAATGGCATGTTGCTGCCAATCAGAACTAGCTCCTCTTATTAAAAAGCTATTTAGAAGAACAACAGTTTTGAATTTCTAGTATTTAACCAGATAAAGGAATTGAGTTATTGCCACAAATCCTGATTGTCTGACACCTATATCTTTGCAACCCAATGTCGTAGATCTTGGATATTTAAAACTATGAATTGTGTTAGACCAACAAATCAAGGTTTTAAATATATAAGGGCAACACTATGAAGTTGCAAAGATATAGGTACTAAAAAGTTTGAGCATGTGGCAAAAACTCAATTCCTTTGCTTTTGTCAGACATGACTGACGTAAAACTAAAACAAGAGGAGATTTAACTTTAGATTTTACCCTTTCATATCAAAGCATTAGTACACATAATATCTTATATATTTAAGTATATTCAAAGCAAAATTGAGCCATTATTAGAGAAGCTTTAAGTGTATTATTATGCCCGAATCAAAACCTTTTACCCTTGAAAGCTTTGTCTCATTCACTATAAATTAGATATTAATGTTTACAATTTGAAAAATTGATTATTATCAATTGAGGTTTCTTTACAAAAGTGACTTTCGCATTTCTACATCAGGAAGGCATATGGAAAATATCAGAATTAAACACTTTTAACCTAGAAAAACCGTGGTAATCGGACATTGCCATCTAATTAAGGTTACCAGCGAAAGGAAGAATGGGAAAATTAACGAATGGTGAATTTGCGAAAGGTAAAAAAAAAAAAATCAATATAAGAAATGAATATAAAAAATAAATATCAAAAAATAAATATCAAAAATGAATATCAAGAATAAATATGTAAAAAAATGAATATCAAAAATGAATATAAATAAATGAATATCAAAAATGAATATAAAAAATGAATATAAAAAATGAATATAAAAATGAAGAAATTAGCAAATGCTAAATATAAATAATACAATAAATGATTGCACTGGTACAGTGAGAACCAGAAAGTTCTGAAATAGAAAGATAAATTTTAGACTAAAGTTTTGACTTTAAAATGAATATGAGACACATCCATTGTGCAGTGTAAACAGACCCAATTCACTTAATAAGTGATTTGAAATGATTTGCTTTATAACAAACAGAATAAGCTAAATTATTGCTTTAATGTCGTCTTTCATTCCACAGTTTTCTGTTTTTCACTCAATAAACAAAGAAATGAGTAAGGAAAAGGACAAATGTTTAAATAAATAAATGAATAAATGAGTAACTGAATGGACTAATATATAAATGAGTAAATGAATAAATGAATGGATAAAAAAATAAATGAATGGATAAATAAATAAATGGGGAAATGAATAAATAAGTAAATGAATGAATAAATAAATAAATGAGTGAATGAATGGATAAATGAATAAATGGGTTAATGAAAGAATAAATGAATGAAATTAACTAAATGAATTTATCTATTAGGTTTGGAGAAAGCCAATCAGCTGCTCGAGGTAAAAGCTGCTTTGGAGCAGCTTAGCTTCGGTAATATCAGCAGCAGTCATGGAGGAATAAACAGCAGTTCCTCTACTTTCTCCAGGTAAAACTATATAAACTGAGTAAGCAGCAGTAAATCTATCAGTAAACCTATCTATCTATCCTCATTTAGTATGAGTGAGTATGAGAGTGAACCGGACAGCTCAGATATGCATGAAGTCCAGGTATAGTCCCTTTATCTGTAATTTTCTAGAAAACGTTATTATTAAATTTTAATAAGCTGGGCATATTCTCTAAACTTGTAAAATCATCCAATTAATCTATATTTTTGTAAATGGTCCCTTTAATATCTATTTTGGTAAATGGTCCCTTTAATATCTATTATGATAAATGGTCCCTTTAATATCTATTATGATAAATGGTCCCTTTAATATCTATTATGGTAAATGGTCCCTTTAATCTCTATTTTGGTAAATGTTGGTAAATGGTCCCTTTAATCTCTATTATGGTAAATGGTCCCTTTAATCTCTATTTTGCTAAATGGTCCCTTTATTCACTATTTTGGTAAATGGTCCCTGTAATCTCTATTTTGGTAAATGGTCCCTGTAAACTCTATTTTGGTAAATGGTCACTTTAATCTCTATTTGTGCAAATGGTCCCTTTAATCTCTAATTTGAATGCCGATTATCCGCATTTTCCTTTGGATGATAAGGGATTGAGGGGTTGAGGTGCTAACAAGGTAATTCCAGAGAATTCTACAGATTCTTATCTCAAACATTTCAATTCAAACTAGGAGAAAGAAACTTTTAATGAATTGGAAGATCGAAACTGGGTTTAATTCGCATTAAATAGATATCTCATTATCGGAGGTGGAAACTTACAAAATCTGAGTTTTGGGGAAATCCTAGCTAAGATTATTCTGAAAATAAATTGTGAGATATAAACTGTGTTTTCGAAAAGTTTAATTAGAGATAATTGATGATATAATAAACTAAATACATTGGCGCCAAAAAATGTTGGTTTGTGCAGAAAATTCGGTAAAAATATTTCATAAAATTCCTGGATTTTCAGGAGCGGAACAGGAAATGCCGCGCATCAAGCCAGGAAAATATTTAGATTAACAGCAGAATTCGGGTTCAGAGATTTTTCTCATGTTTCGGAATCTAGTTTATCTTTACTGTTTATTAAATATTTATTATGCCTGTTTTTTCTTATTTAAAAAAAAACTTCATTTTAAATTAAATTTATTGTTCAGAATAAGTAAACTTTTGCCATTTTTGGGCTATAATTGATTTCGAGAAAAGTTTTAGATACAAATTTTATTACTTTTCCGATAAAAAACCGAATTATTATTTTTTTTATTTTAATATTTTTGGTTCCCCAGGAAACATTGAGCACCACCGTAACATCAGCTGATGAATTCGTCTGGATAGATTCTCATAACAGGTTGGTTTATAAGAATGTAAATTCATAGGGATATATACAGTGTTATCAACAAAGGATAAGACTTTTATGACAACCTTTAATTCTTTAAATATAACTATCAGAAGGCCGAACTATAATGACAAACTATTTGATGAAAGAGTGAATAAATGAATGAATGAATGAATGAATAGGTGGATGATAGAATGAATGAATAGGTGAATAGATGAATGAATAAATGAAAGAATGAAAGGAAGTATGAATAAATGAATGAATGAATGAATGAATAGGTTGGTTGAGGTCCAGCAGGTCCCGTGGACTGCTGAAGATATCCACAAGGTTCTTCAGACCGGAGCTGTGAAGGACTCTGCGCACACCTTTTCTAAGTAAGTTTTTTAATTCCAAAAATTAAAAAGAATTTAACAAAAATGTTTTGTTTAGTGAACTCTACCCTCGTCTGTCCTACTATATCCAACGAGCTCTAGTCAGGTGAATTTTCAGAATATAAACAAAATTTACCGATTTTACTGAATTTGAACTAGGTCGCTCAACCACCTGCCGTCGATTCAAAAACTTATCTATATTTCTGCAGTGTTGTTGTTTACAAGGGAACCAAAGATAAGGTTGAGTCGACGGTTTGCCGCCTATAGCTCAAATTTATTAAGCTCGGTCCCAGACAATGCATGTGCAGTGTGCACTGACGTACTGTCCAGGTTTCATATGTACTGTACAATGTACAGTGTGTGCAAAGTACACAGTACATGACTGATTTTATTTTATCAAAATAAGTAATCAAATGGCAATACTTTTCATCAATTAATTTTTAAGAAAACTATTCTCAGAGCAACTTTTCAGAGGTCTTCCTCTCTCTCTCCCCCCCATTTTCATTTCTCATAACNACCCTTTAAAACATTCATATTTGCGAAGTCTCTGTGTCGTAAAATGTGAAAACTCCCGAATGGGTAAAATTCTGCAAACAACCCGGATTTAGCAACCTCAGCTTCGATTTCGCAAACTAATCTCATTCTTTGCAAAAAAATAAATCGAATTGCAGTGTGTATAAATTGCATAAAATGGCTGATATTTGTTTTGCACAAATCTGCAAACATTCTTGAATAAAAAAAAACTAAATTAAAGTTAAAAATAACAGAACATTTTTAATACACTTGTAACTAAATAAAAAAAAACAGACATTGTTTAAGTAATGTTTAACCCCATTTTTGCAAGCATTAAAGTAATTCACTTAGATCCAGAGCAACAAACTTCTAAACTTTACAGTGTCCCAACCCCTGCTTATGGTTTTACATTACTAACGCAATAATACTTAATATAACAAACCTGTTTTTCGCTTTAGTTTAAAATGGGTGATTGGCAAAATGTTGATAAATTTTTACACATTTTGGGTTACCGTGTATAATAAAAAATTATTGAATTATGAAATATGATTTATTTTATTTCTTCCCAATGTGTTTATCTTCAAAGATAATTTGATGTAAACTTTTTTCCATTGAACCCCAAAACGCAATAGAAAACTGCAAATAGATAATCCAGTAAAGTAGGTGGTAACAGAGAAATAATACGCGACGTCACAAGTGTCAAATATAACAAGGAAAACGAAATTTCCTCATATTTGGTGACATGTTTTCCAAAGATTAAATAAAAAAGTGTAAAAACAGAAAATAAAGAACACAAAAAATTGCACTTAATTTACTGTTAGATAAGCACTTTATTCTAAAATTATCACTATTTTAATAATTTTGTCGGACACAAAAACTAAGTTGACACTTGTGACGTAAGGATACAGCTGTATTGAGAGTGTACAAATTCTACGTTGCCATCTGTTGTACTGGAATCTATTTGGAAAACCAGTTCATCTGAAAACTGCACGTTAGAACTTTGCAAACACTTCCTTTAATGGGCAAAATTTTCTAGAATATCACGTGAGGCCCAGAGGCTGTCTCAGCGGATTTACAAATGTTCAAAATTTGAAATTCTGGCAGCTTTAAAAGTAGTTTTACCGCCAGGTATTTTAAACATAGTTTTTAAATTTTTTAACGCAATTTTAATTTTTTTAACATGTTTTCAAATTTTTAACGCAATTTTAATTTTTTACATGTTTTCAAATTTTTAGCATATTTAAATTTTTTTGGTAGGCGATTATATAAATAGAATGAAAACGACTTTTTTTAATAAAGTTTCGATTATACTCAAAGCTTTTTTCTAATTACAAGTTTACAAGTATCAACGGTAAGCTTTTTTAATTGACAGCTTCTCTTGACTTCTATGTTTATGTGTATCCATGCGGTTTAATGGCTTGAGAAAAGTCAAAATTGAAAACGAAAGTCGTCTTCATTGTTTTGATATAATCGCCTACCACTGGAATTTTAAACTTAATTTTCACATTTGCATCGATCGGATATGTTACATTGATATTGAAAATGTCCAAAAACCAAAATACGAACCATTTTGAGAGATTTAATGTTTGTGATACCCTGTACAGTGTACATTTATGTACTGTTTAGTGTTGGCCAACAGTTGTACAAAGGCCTGTTTGAGAGCTGGTACTATGTACACAATATCTAGCGATTTTAGTAAACAAACCAAATCTTCCAGGGCTGGACTCAAGCTAGGTAAAAAAAAAAAAATTTGCATTGAGGACATCTTCTCTCAGTTATAGAGTTAGGTAGACATTTTGAGGTATAGAATTTTGAGTTTTGGCAGTTTTCAAAATATTTCCAAAATGGTTTTAGAACTTCAAAAATTTCACATTTTGTATATTTTAATTTGTTTAGATGTTGGAAAGTTTCAGCAATGGATGGGGTCTGTTAGAGTTGGGAAATTCATTCAGGTAAAAAATAAATTCAAAATCTTAAAATAAATCTGAAAATTGATAGTATGAAGGTAGGAAAAGCATAAATTCGGATTTCAGATCAAAAAACGTTCTGGGTATCTGCAGGAAGTATGGAATATAAGAAATATTTAGGATAGGTTATTGTATACGTGGTAATAGTACATCAGACAAATATTTCTTATTCAAATGAAGTACCGTCTGCAAAGCATGTAAAATCATATGGTAGGGCGGGCCGCGTCAGTTATATCTCAATTCTATTCCTTACTCCCTAGGGGTATCTGCAGGAAGATTGCGGTAACATAATGTTATTAAAACAAAAATTCAATTTTTGTTTTGAATTCTTCTATTCTTTTGAATGCATAAATATATTAAAACAACAAATGATCCAATCATCAAATCAATTATTGAATAATGAATGGATTTTAAAACAATAAATAATCAAATTAATTTTTAATGAATGATTGAATGAATATTATATTATTTTTTAATCTATTTTCGATGAATTGATGGATGAATATCAAAACAATGAAATGTGATCAATCGATTCTTGACCAATAAATGAATATTAGAACAATTGATAATCAAATTAATTTTTAATGAATGAATGAATGAATATTATATTAATGAATATCAAAACAATGAAATGTGATCAATCGATTCTTGACCAATGAATGAATATTAGAACAATTGATAATCAAATCAATTATTGATGAATGGATAAATGAATGTTAAAACAATGATCAAATCAATTAATAATGTGTAAATGAATCTACAAAACATCATATCAATTGTTGATGAATGATATTTTTTATCGATATTTAATTAATGAATGAATGACTATGCAGCATGAATGATTTTATTTTTAATTCTAAACAATGAATCATTAAAACATACAAAATAAAAAGTTTAATAGTCTATTTTTAATTCTAAACAATGAATCATTAAAACATACAAAATAAAAAGTTTAATAGTCATGTTTAAGAGTTTATGAACTCAATAAAACCTAAAAAAATTGACACAAAATAATTTTCAAAAACTCTCTTGTATAACTGCAATCCAAATTAACATCTTCAGGGGCGAAATCTCAAGTGATAATTTAGAGATAATTAAGAGATATTTAAGAGATAATTAAGAGATAATTAAGAGATAATTAAGAGATAATTAAGAGATAATTAAGAGATAATTAAGAAATAATTAAGAAAAATGAAAAACTACATTAACAGTGCAAAATAACTGAAAATTTCAATCCCTGTAACGCGACTGTACATATGCACGTACATACTATTTTTACTTTACATGTACATGATTTCATGCTGTACATGTATACATGATCTTTATAATTTACAGGAATACGCTGCGGTGTACATGACTGCAGGAATTGAAAATATAATGGAAGAGGTTCTTCAACAATGTTTACAAACAGGGGCACAGGTTAGTAATAATAATAATAATATAATAATAATAATAATAATAATAATAATAATAATAATAATAATAATAGTACCACGTAAAGGTAACTGTAAGTGTACTGGAGGAGTGTATTGGATCTAGTTCTGAACTCTGGGGTTTATTCCAACCCTACGCCCACCTCAGCTCCTGCAGAACCTCCAAAGGGTCCTTGGAAGTTCCAAGGTGAATGCCTTGTTAAATTCTCGAACTAAAACTTAGGTCGTCTTCGCTTTCAAACTTTTAACAAACATTCATCCGCTACTAATCAAGAAAGTAAAGTTAAAACATAAGAGAATGTTAAGAATTTAAAAAAAGAAGAAATGCCCCGCTAAATTCTTAACGAAAGACTTGGTCCTCTACACTTCTTCACTTCACTTCAATAGTTAGGACTGGATTTTCTTATGGCTTATTTTATTCTTTCTAAAGGTACAGTCGTCGTCGCAAATATCAATAAAATGAAGACGACTTTCTTGTTCAATTTTGTATCCACAAAGCTTTCAAACAGTATGGATACACATAAACATGCAAACAAAAAGAAGCTGTCAACTTTACAGCTTCTCTTTGTTTACTTGTAAACTTGTAATTTGAAAAAGTCTTGTAAGAAATCAAAACTTAAATCCAAAAGTCGTCTTCATTGTATTGAAAAAACCCGACAACTGTATATTTGATGAGTATATTTATCATTTATTTAGATGTATGTCCCTGTCTGTTTCTGATACAATTCGTTTATCCTCTGGTGTGAAGACGACCGACAAATCGTTATCTCAAATCCTGTTAACAACATGTGTTGGATCAAAGGTAACACATATCTTGTTAACTACAGGCGTAGGATTTAACCTAACAATTGTCTTATTATAAACATTCGTAGGATCAAAGTTAACAAAAATCTTGTTAACAGCATGAATAGGGTCAAAGTTAACAAATATCCTGTTAACAACATGAGAAGGATCAAAGATAACAAACATCTTGTTACAATAACATGTGTAGGATCAAAGGCAAACAACATGCATGTTGTGTAGGATCAGAGGTAAAATATATCTTGTTAACACCATGTGTAGGACCTAATGTAACGTATATCTTGTTAACATCATGTGTAGGATCAGAGGTAACATATATCTTGTTAACACCATGTGTAGGACCTAATGTAACGTATATCTTGTTAACATCATGTGTAGGATCAGAGGTAACATATATCTTGTTAACACCATGTGTAGGACCTAATGTAACGTATATCTTGTTAACATCATGTGTAGGATCAGAGGTAACATATATCTTGTTAACACCATGTGTAGGACCTAATGTAACGTATATCTTGTTAACATCATGTGAAGGATCAAAGGTAAACAATATTTTGTTAACAACCTAGGCGTAAAGTCAAAGGTAACTAATATCTTGCTAACACCATGCGTAAAATTAAAGGTAACTAATATCTTGTTAACAATATGCATAGGATAAAAGGTAACAAATATCTTGCTAACAACATGAGTAAAATTAAAGGTAATATACAGTATGACCTGTAAAACTGTGGTAAAGGAAGGCGCAATTTAACAAATCTATAGTTTAACTAAGAAATAGCTTAACCATGGCAGCTTGAAAATCAACTAATGAAGTAAAATAGGTCTGTATAAACTGTTTTTAAGTTAATAACATTATTTGAAATTCTAAATTGAGTCTAAAGTCGTCTTTACATTTGATAGTTTTATGGGTTTAACTTTAGATTTAGTTAGCAACCTGTGTACGTAATTGTAGACACATAATCTCCCCCCTAAATGAGATTATTCTGTACTATGTGCCGTTTCTATACTGTACATATACTGTACATATACTGTACATATACTGTACATATACTGTGCATATACTGTACATATACTGTACATATACTTTACATATAATGTACATATACTGTTCTTATACTGTACATACTGTAGATATACTGTTCATATGCTGTACATATACTGTACTTATAGTGTACATATACTGTACATATACTGTGCATAAACTGTACATATACTGCACATATAATGTACATGTACTGTTTATATACTGTACATATACTGTACATATAATGTACATATACTGTACAGGGTCTGTAGCTGCACTTAGAAGTTGTAGTACTTTAAATGAACCAAAGCCTTTAGTGTAGTGTAAATAAACACTGAACCGTCTCTTTAATATGTCGTTTTTTACATTTCTTCTTCTTACTTCTAGGATGAATTGGAGTCTCTTATATCTCCTGTTGCTCAGTTTTATCATAAATATTATCATTCTTTGCTCAGGTAAACAACATGCTAGAAATATCTAACATTGTGTACAACATTTTAGAAATATCTAACATTGTGTACAACATGTTTTAAATATATAACATTGCGTGCAAAATGTTAGAAATATCTAACTTTCTGTACAGGCTGTTAGAAATAACTAACGATTTGAACAAAATGTTATTAATATATAACATTAAAATTATGTACAGTGTACAGATACTTCTAACATTGTGTACAAGATGTTAAAAATATCTAGCATTGTACAACATATTATTTCTAACTATGTGTACAAGATGTTAGAAATAGCTAACGCTTTGTAAAAGATGTTACAAAAATCTAACTTTGTGCAAACTGTTAGAAATATATGATCTTCTTATTGCATGCTATTCTATTTTAGCTCTACGAGTAGCCGTGGTCCCCCAACCTGGACTAAAGATAGCTTACACACTCTTTACCATTTCATGAGGTGTTCTCAGCTAGAGAACCAGAACCTAGACCCTTATTCAAGTATACAGGTATTGCAAAAAAATACCTGTAAAACAATTCTAGCCAGTTTAATGTGCATACACGTGTTTGGCCCACTAAAAACTAGGTACACTAGACCGGCCGGTATTAATAAATTTAAGTACAAATACTCTAGACCGGGTAGTACCAGTATATGCCTTGTTCTGGGTCGGATCATGTGCCAAATACAAAACAGATGAGTGCTTTAATGGCCGAAAATATAGGAAGAGAAAAATTTCACATTGAAGGCATTAATCTCGAAGGATCAATTAGATCATAAATCAAACGTTTAGTTTTATCATCTCCATCTAGTGGGGATTTCTAAAACTAAATATTTCGGAAGTTGGTTTATCAGACATCTAGTGGGGATTTTTATAACTAAATATTTCAGGAGTTGGTTTATGAGAGACCGTATATGGTTCTTCCTCCACTAATTGAATGGTTTAGAGTAGCTGTTGTTTTCAGCATCAGCAGGTACCATAGACATTATATTACGTATTAAGTTAAAAATGTGTCAAATTACCATGGTCTGAAGACCTGAAAAACAGGCAGATCATTGATAATTAAAGGGAGTGTTCGCGAAAATTTAAATGGGGTATACACTGAATCTTAATATTTTCAATTAATTGTTCTCCTCATCTATTCACTCGATCCCGACTGGTCGAGAATGCCATCCACTAATAATATTCTTATGAAATTCATGAACTTGTACTTGGGATTCTTCGTTTTATATCATTAAGCATTATAAGCCATTTCCTGCCTCTAAACACATATAGTTTTTCAATAGAAGTAAAATTAGCAGCGATAGAAATAGAATCCAAATTTGATTCGGATTCAGCCTATACCCGCTTTAAGTGTTTGCGAACATTTCTTTAAGGTTCCATACAAGTTTGCTGATTAGCTAAAATAATTATTGTTTTAGATTAAGTTTCTCGGTGGATAGTGATGATGTTTTTCAAGCCGCCAGAGTTTTACTTCCAGGTTTGAATTATTTCAATTTGGTCGGTTTTCCAAAGCTATATTGGCCTATGTTAAATGGTTGGTTTTTAGGAGCTGATTATCCGCCTCTTGGTCAGGCTTTTAACCAGCAATTCCAGAGTTTACCCAGTTCTGCCCTGGAGGAAATAGAATTCATCAACAGGTACAGAATTGTAAAAATATCACATGAAAGAGCCTGCAGAGTGCAATAGTGTAATTTAAAGTTTTTAAGCTTTGTTTGGAAAAAAATTAGATTTAAAAAAAAAAAAATTTTCAATATGGGGTTCTCTCCAAAGTGACTTGCTGATTTCTACTGCAGACACATTGGAGAAAACTGTTAGAATTAAATCATTGTCGAGTTCTGAAACGATGATGTCTGCTACCTTATCCATCAGATAAAATATTTAAAGAGCTGTGAATCATACGTGTCACTTTTTAAATGTTGGGTCCCTTGAAATTATGTCTAAAATCACTTTAACTTTTTATCAAGTTTGTTTTTTAAAAAACATGCTGATTTATTATTTTTTTTAGTACAAAGCGCAATACCGCGTTCCAACTTCTATTATCTGGAAGACGAGAGTTGGCTACGCATGCGCTCACTCTGCTCCCAACCAATACGAAACTTAACACGGCAAACGATCAGGAATATTCAAGTTTAAAAATTAGATAACAAGAAACTTTTTTAGAGTGGACTGATGAAAAAAAATCTTTTATGGAACTATTTTGTACTTTATCATTCACGGTAAATATTTTAATAGACTCGTCCAAATCTTTACAGCACTGCATACCAATATTGTTATGTTAACCCTCAATAATGTGAGGCATATCTTCAAAAATCCAAATTAGGTTTTATGTATACCCGTGAACTCAGTTATTTTTAAATACCCGCCAGCCATTGACATTTATTGATGTTTGCTCTTTTTTTAGCTATTTCTCTCATAGTTTTCTTGATTTTAGCATTTTAGCATTTTCTAAAATTTTGTTCCGTTCCATCAAAGTTTTATGAGGCTCTATCTAATTGATGTTTTATCAGAAAACAATCGATAACGAGCGAAAATCATTTACAAAACTTTATCAGAACGGTCTTTCGTCATATTTTGGTATTTCGAACAAAAGGATAGAATTTTTCTCAAGTGCATGGATTGTTTTATCCGTTTAACAGCTGGGTCCTAGTTTTTAATTGGACATTGTGCCAGGGCTTGACACCTTTGATGGTAGCGTGCCTTCGAGAAGATTTTGTAGCCGTCAAACTTCTGATAGATCTTGGTGCCATAATCGATTTTAGAGTTTCAGGTAATAGAACTTGACATTTTTAAAGTTTTTGGATATGTAATTTATTCTTAAAGTCTGTCAGAAATCGCATTGACAAAAAAGGGGCTGTAATTATAAGCTTTTAAAATTCTAAAATTCTAAAATAACATTTTATGACTTTTAAAATTGTAGGGCAATATAAAAATGCTTTATTAGCTTTTAAGATCGTAAGATGCTAAAACAATAGCTTCATGACTTTTGAAATTGTAAGATGCTATATCAATGGTTTTATGACTTTTCAAATTGTAAGATGATTTATCAATGGTTTTATGACTTTTGAAATTGTAAGTCTGCATTCAGACTACTTTTGAAAGTGTGTGGATCCATGACAATTGCTCTTTGACCTTTGAAATTGTAAGAAGCTACAACAATGACTTCATGACTTTTGAAGTTGTTAGCGCTACAACAACGTTTTATGAGTTTGGATATTGTAGGCCAATATTAAAAAAGTTTTATGTCTTTTAAGATTCTAAAGCGACTTAACAACAATTCACGACTTTTGAAATTGTTAGTCATTGACTTTTGAAGTTATAAGACATGCTCTAACAAGCAAAAGTTATGAAAACGCTTTATGACTTTTAAAATTGTACAAGCTATGCCTTCACAGGCTAAACTTCATCACTTTTGAAATTTTGGCTTTAAAGATTTTGAAATTGTTAGATGCTATAACAGTGGCTTTATGACTTTTGACATTGTAAGACGTTATAACAAATGCAATATGACTTTCAAAATTCTAAGATGCTTTAACGATGACTGTATCAAGGACTTTTAAAATTGGAATATAAAAATGCCTTTGTGACTTTTGAAGTTGTAAGAAGTTATCACAATGCCTATATGGCTTTCTGATACCGTAAAACTAATAAGTCTTGTAATTTTTAGCATCTGAGAAATGGCATACCCAAGTTCATCCTGAGCTGACCCACTGGACCGCCCTTCATTTTGCTACAATGACCGGAAGTTATGATGTTACAAGGTAGGATATTTATCGAACATTATCTTGTGTTTTTTAAACCTTTATCTTAGTTTTCTATCCTAAAGGTTAGGTGTCTTAAGACGTCATCAAAACATCGAATTTATCAATCACATTCTTCAATAAAATTTTAAGAAACAAAACATAAAGTTTATCCTGATAATTTGTTTTGTATACAATCTACATACCCTCCTTGCCAATTTCCGTTTCCTTCCATTACCCCTGTCCATTGTGAGTTCAGTAGTTTGATTGTCTTCAAGGAAAAAATGTTGATCCTGCCAGAATCGTGTCCACATTCTGCTCAGCTGTTGTCCGAGATCAAATGCCGCGCAACACAAAATGCTAATTTTTGGCGGGAGATTCGAATTCTTTGCTCGTGAGGTCGTGAACTGCATTTCTGGCAGTCAAGCTCCCGCATTTTTTGCAGTTTGGCTGACTTGTGGTCTGCAATTGGTTCTTAGTGTACTTTAGTTCAAAACTAAATTTCCTTGTTATAATTTGTCTCATAGGGGCAACTAAAGGTGTTAGGAGAAGGTATACAATTATACATATTTTTTGGTTTCTTTATATTCAACTTTTATTTTCAAGAATTGATCTGATTGATTTATCAAGTTGTGAAACAATAGAACGTAATGCATATAGGATTAGATGAGGAATGATTTTGAATAATTACGGGGTATTTACAATTTACTTGATGAAAATGGATCAAATTAGGATACAAATGAAATGTAATTTTCTGAAAAAGGAGACAAGAAAGAATAATAAACGTGCACGAAATTGCATATTGAATCATGAATATGCAAGGTAGGTTAATTAATAAGTGCTTAGTAAATTTAATGTGCTAAGATGATGTTTGAATGTGCTAGGATGAAGTATGAATGTGCTCAGATGATGTATGAATGTGCTCAGATGATGTATGAATGTGCTAGGATGATATATGAATGTGCTAGGATGAAGTATGAATGTGCTAGGATGAAGTATGAATGTGCTAGGATGATGTATGAATGTGCTAGGATAATGTATTAATGTGCTAGGCTGATGTATGAATGTGCTAGGATAATGTATTAATGTGCTAGGATGATGTATGGATGTGCTAGGATAATGTATTAATGTGCTAGGCTGACGTATGAATGTGCTCAGATGATGTATGAATGTGCTAGGATAATGTATTAATGTGCTAGGCTGATGTATGAATGTGCCAGATGATGTATGAATGTGCTCAGATGATGTATGAATGTGCTAGGATAATGTATTTGCTAGGATGATGTATGAATGTGCTAGGATAATGTATTAATGTGCTAGGCTGATGTATGAATGTGCTAGGATGATGAATGAATGTGCTAAGATGATGTATGAATGTGCTAAGATGATATGAATGTGCTAGGATGATGTATGAATGTTCTAGGATGATGTAAGGATGGGTGAATAAATGAATGAATGAATGTGCTAGGATAATGTATGGATGGATGAATGAGTAAATGAATGAATAAATGTGCTAGGATGATGTAAGGATGAATGAGTAAATGAATGAATAAATTGGCTAGGATGATGTATGAATGTGCTAGGATGATGTAAGGATGAATGAGTAAATGAAGGAATAAATGTACTAGGATTATGTAAGGATGAATGAGTAGATGAATGAATAAATGTGCTAGGATGATGTAAGGATGAATGAGTAGATGAATGAATAAATGTGCTAGGATGATGTAAGAATGAATGAGTAAATGAATGAATAAATGTGCTAGGATGATGTAAGAATGAATGAGTAAATGAATGAATAAATGTGCTAGGATGATGTATGAATGGAGAATGAGTTGAAGCAGGATCAACTAAAAACATTGTTTGTAAGCTTTGAACCCTGCACTACATTCTTTAAATCCTTAGCATGATACTTCATATAGCTATAGATAGATAGATAGATAGATAGATAGATAGATAGATAGATAGATAGATAGATAGATAGATAGATAGATAGATAGATAGATAGATAGATAGATAGATAAATGGATGTTCGTTCCACTTTGGTTGCAAAGCTGAATCTTATATTATTTCTCATGTACATCTTTTTGTAGACTGTTGCTGGAGAAGGGTGGAAATGTAGAGGGTAATGTTGATGTTGAAGATGATATTTGTACTGAGACCCCTCTACAGCTGGCAGCAGCAGCGGGTAGGGTCGACCTGGTTGAACTCCTGCTTAGCTTCGGAGCATCTCCTTTCCTTACAACCATCAAGGTATATCTATACTTTAAGTAATGATTTACATGTAATTGTAGGAATTATTTTTTTGATTGCTTAAGTAACATGATTTATTTATTGCTTAGACGAATAAATCTTAAAATGATCTGCTGATCTAAAAATTGATTGATCATCCGTTTTTTTTGATAGATTGATTTATTGATTGATAAAAAACTATTTGACTAATTGATTTATTGTTTGCTGAACTGTTTGATAGATTGCTTTATTGATTGATTAGCTGTTTGATAATGTTTGATAGGTTGATTTATTGATTGATTAGCTGTTTGATAATGTTTGATAGATTGATTTATTGATTAATAACTGTTTGATAGATTGATTAATTATTTGATAGTGTTTGATAGATTGATTTACTGATTAATTAACTGTTTAAAAGATTGATTAACTGTTTGATAGATTATTAGGCTGCAGAGATACAAAGTGAATGCTGTTGTTAAAAAAACATTCTTTTAGATATTACAGCTCTCAACATTTTATACTTTTAGATATTACAGCTCTCAACATTTTACACTTTTAGATATTACAGCTCTTAACATTTTATACTTTTAGATATTACAGCTCTTAACATTTTATACTTTAGATATTACAGCTCTTAACATTTTACACTTTAGATATTGCAGCTCTCAACATTTTACACTTTAGATATTACAGCTCTCAACATTTTACACTTTTAGATATTACAGCTCTTAACATTTTATACTTTTAGATATTACAGCTCTTAACATTTTATACTTTAGATATTACAGCTCTTAACATTTTACACTTTAGATATTGCAGCTCTCAACATTTTACACTTTAGATATTACAGCTCTCTACATTTTACACTTTAGATATTGCAGCTCTCAACATTTTATACTTTAGATATTACAGTTCTTAACATTTTACACTTTAGATATTACAGCTCTCAACCTTTTACACTTTAGATATTACAGCTCTCAACATTTTACACTTTTAAATATTGCAGCTCTTAACATTTTACACTTTAGATATTGCAGCTCTCAACATTTTACACTTTAGATATTACAGCTCTCAACATTTTACACTTTTAAATATTGCAGCTCTTAACATTTTACACTTTTAAAATTTTAGTAATTTAAAGTGATGAGGCCACTTTGGCTTGGCTGAGTCTTTTTAAGACACCCTCAATATTGACAGGGCTTTCTGAGTTCAATTGATTTATCGATTGATTATACTGTTTGTCAGATAGATTGATTTATTGATTGATTAACTGTTAGATAGGTTGATTTATTGATTGATTAACTGTTTGATAGATTCATTTACTGATTTAACTGTTTGATTAATTTATTGCTTCATTGATTAACTATTTGATAAATTGATTGATGCATTGATTAACTGTTTGATAGATTGCTTCCTTCATTGATTAACTGTTTGATTAATTTTTTGCTTCATTGATTAACTATTTGATAAATTGATTTTCTGATTGATCAATTATTTGATAAATTGATTGCTTCATTGATTAACTGTTGGAAAAATTGATTGATGAATTGATTAACTGTTTGATAAATTGATTCCTTTATTGATTATCTGTTTGATAGATTGATTTACTGATTGATCAATTATTTGATAGATTGATTGCTTCATTGATTATCTGTTTGATAGATTGATTGATAAACTGTTGGAATGATTGATTTGCTGATTTATTAATTAATTGAAAAATTGATTGATGAATTGATTAACTGTTTGATAGATTGATTGATAAATTGTTGGTATGATTGATTTGCTGATTTATTAATTAATTGATTAACTATTTGATTGTTTGAGGAATTAATCATTGATCCATGCAAAGTTGGCCATGGCCGATTTACAATCTGATCAATTAAATGGAAGATACGTTTAATTCTGATAGTTTCTATATTTATATGTTTTTTCTGCAGCAGAAATGCGCAAGTCACTTGTGCAGAGAAATTACAAATCAAATTAAATAATTTCTAAAAACAAAATCATAGAGTTTTAATGCATACTTGATCAGACCAAGCTTGTAAGGAATATAGCATTACCATATTTGAATTAATGGTTACTTGAAATCAGGCTTCAAGGGACTGTAAAGGAATTGGCTGCGTAACTATTGAATATAATCTGTTCAATGCTACAACTTTTATACAAAATTTGACATATGTCCGTTTTGGTACAATTTCTTGAGACAGGAACATAAGATAGATGCCTTATAGGTATCGTTCAAAACCTAAGATTCTCAGGTTTTATCCTTTATCCCCTTTCATTTTTCCTTTACTGTCCCTCTATGTCCCTGGTAATGATAAAGATTTAAAGATTTATGCGTTTCTAGGTTGATTCTATGGCGTTTGGTTCATCTGCCCAGAAAGGATCTTATTCAGCACTGTCTACTGCAGCTACTCATGGACAAAGGTATCTAAAAGAATTAAGTCTTTGCCACAAACTCTGATTTTCTAATCACTATATCTTTGGAACCAAATGTTGCAGACCTTAGATATTTCAAACTATGAATTCTGTTAGATCAAATAATATAAGTTTGAAATATCAAAGGTTTACAACATCGGGTACTAAAGATATTGAGGTTTAAATATTTGATTTTGCTCCAAAGACTCAATTCTTTTATCTATTTATGTACAGGGTTACTCAAATTGGATGAGACTTCAAAGACGATCTGAATGTTAGATACATAGTTTTATGATTTTGAAACAAGTTTACAGTTGTAGAGTATAATGAATTAAAGGGAAAATAGAAAACCATATTGGAGCCGCGTCTCAAATTTAAGCCACGGCTCAAATTCTTTATATTCGGCCTTAGCTTGGGTAAACCCAGCCTAGTCTTAACCAACAAGTAACTTCATGAAGTAGGGAACATCGGTGTTCAAATTTAACTATTTATCAATCTATCTATAATAATCTAATATCTATCTATCTTTTTAAAACCTCTATATCTGTAATGTTTTCTACCTAATACATATATATATTTTTTCAATAAATCTATATTTTTCTATCTATATAGTATTTTCAACTTTTTTCAGTTAAGAAATACATTTTAGATGTTTAAATATATATTTTCCAAGACAAAACGTTTCATGGGTCTGACCCGGCCAATCATCAGTTGAAATAAGACTGATACTGGAGCATTTTTTAGAATGATTTCACGGACTTTTGGGTAAAAAAATAGTTTTACATTAAAAATTATAAATATTGTTTTATTTAAAAAAAACTTTTTGAAATGGCTATCTAATATATATCTATCTATATATTTAAAACATCTATATTTTGCTATCTAATATATATCTATCTATGTATTTAAAACATCTATATTTTTCTATCTAATATATATCTATCTATGTATTTAAAAAATCTATATTTATTGTATTCTAGAAAGTGTCTACATAAGCTGATAACACATCCCTCTACACTAACAAGTCAGAATTCTGGAAAAGATGTTCTTTCATTGGAGGAAATACTAGCTGAAGGTAAATGACCTCCCAAGTATAAATGACCTTCTAAGTATAAATGACCTCCTAAGCATAAATGACCTCCTAAGCATAAATGACCTCCTAAGCATATGACCTCCTAAGCATAAATGAACTCCTGAGAATAAATGATCCCCCAAGTATAAATGACCTCCAAAGTATAAATGACCTCCTAAGCATAAATGACCTCCAAAGTATAAATGACCTCCTAATTTTAAATGACCTCCTAAGTATACATGACCTCCTAAGTATATATGACCTCCTAAGTATAAATGACCTCCTAAGTATAGATGACCTCCTAAGTATAAATGACCTCCTAAGTATAAATGACCTCCTAATTTTAAATGACCTCCTAAGTATACATGACCTCCTAAGTATAAATGACCTCCTAAGTATAAATGACCTCCTAAGTATAGATGACCTCCTAAGTATAAATGACCTCCTAAGTATAAATGACCTCCTCAGTATAAATGACCTCCTCAGTATAAATGACCTCCTAAGTATAAATGACCTCCTAAGTTAAAACGTCTAAAATGATTATAATATTCAGGTGTATCGAATGGGGAGGAAAGAACCAGACCAGATCACAAGAAAACACAGAAAGGAAATCTGTATTCGAGGTAAAAAAAGAGTTTTTTTTTCAGGAACTTTAAATGTAAAGGAATTGGGTCTTTGCAAAAAACTTTGATCTTCTAATCCCTATATCTTTGCAACCCAATGTCGTAAACCTTAGATATTTCAAACAATAATTTCTGTTAGGTCAAATAATCTGAGTTTAAAATATCAAAGGTTTACACCATCAGGTTGCAAAGATATCGGGATTAGGTAACTTGAGTTTTGGCGAAGGTTCAATTCCATTAAGTTCATTATAGTTTCCAATTCACAACTACTATACGATTTTAAGCTTTATATGATCAAAAATGAATGAGATAGACACGTTTTAATTTAAAAAAATTATGATTTAAAAAAAATTGACTTCAAATAAATGGATGACATTTTCAGAGTAAAAACACTTTAAAGCTAGAAACACTTTAAATGCAAGGAAAGTTATTTCAGAGGTGATACGCATTTTTTTAACTGCAGTGTACTGTATTTGGTCGGAAAAATAAAAACAAGACGAATGTCACAGCCTGACATGGGATCTATTTTCACAAAAATAATCTATAAATATTCTTGACATAGGAAACCGTTATGTGATTTTTAAAAATTATTAAAATTAAAGGCTTTTACAATCCTAGGATACTTAACGAACACTGATGCATATTTTCTTGTTTACAAAGTCCGCCCAGAGGGAACTGGTTTCAATAACTTTCCGCAATTAACTTTCCTTGCATAAGTACCTCTGTAGGTATAAAATGCCCCAGTTTTATAAAATAAAAGTCTATAGTGTATAAGTTCTAAGGTAGTGAGATTCATGAAAAAAACAAAAAGTGAGATTTGAAAATCCAAAATGAGAATATAAAATTTCAACTTTTATTTTCAAACTCTGGTATTGGCGGTAGTGAGATTTCAAAAT